TAAATAAACGTTGAAAAAAAAAATTTAAAAAAAAATAAAATTAACAATCAAAATTTCGACAGTAAAAGAAGCTCAATTAGTTTACTGTTAAAGTATAACAGGATTCTTCTTCCTAGTTCTGGAATGACAGGTGTCTATAAAACCCTAACTACTGAAAACCTATGTTCTCAAAGTTAAAAAAACAAATAAACTCCAGTGATCTTAAAAACAAAATCATGTTCTTATTCCTTATGTTTGTCATACCATAAAATTTAGTATGATTGAAGAGAGAAAGTGCAAATAGCCCAAAATTTTTCTCATAGTTAACCACCAACACCAAAAAGCTTAGCACTTCCTTCAGCCTATGACGCTGGCCTGAAGCTGACAATGGCTAAAATATCTTTTTATGATTACCTTAAGAATATCACTTAGATCGGGGCACCTGGATGGTTCAGGCCATGAAGTGTCCGACTTTGGCTCAGGTGGTGATCTCACAGTTCGTGAGTTTGAGCCCCACATAGGGCTCTCTGCTGTCAGTGCTGAGCCCACTCCGGATCCTCTGCCCCACCCCCCCACCCCACCCCCCCACATATGTGCGCACGCTCACGCTCGCTCTAAAATAAACATTAAAGAAAAAAGAATATCACTTAGCTCTTAATGTGTATGTAGTATTTTATACGATATATTTAAGTAAGATGGGAACATTTCCATAATCATTTTGGTAGTTACTGGATAAATTAACTCTTAATACTTAAATTTATAAAACGCTATTTCACTTTTGTGTTAATTATTGCTTCCTAGGACGCAATATAGGCAATTAAAACAACAAAGTCTAATTAATTAATTAAAATTAAATAAATAAAAACAATGTCTCCAAAATAAAAAGGCCCTCAACCTGAATGTAGCAGTTACCACTCAACTTACCACCACTTGACTTTCGGCAAGTAACTCAACCTAAGTCACTATTTCCTTATTGGGAGGATTAAATGAGATAATATATGTAAAGTAGCACAGTGACCAGTACATGTTAGTCCTCAATAAAAATATATACACATTAAATGTATATACAATAATCTGAATCTCTGAAAAGGCACACAGGAAATCATCAATGATAGCCAGGCTATTTCCAAGAAAAGGACACGGGGTTCTCTGGGGGGAGTGGAAAGACTATACCATTTTATGCTCTGTATTTTTAACCAGGACTTATAATACCTTCCCCAAAATTGAAATAATTGTGAAGTATCTCTGGTGTATCAGATTTCTTAGGGTGTAGCATTATGCGCTGCTGCTGAATCCAAAGGAGTAAGTCAGAGTCTAATAATATCCAGGAAGAAACACACAACCTATCTGATTTCATCAGTCAGGTGTTCTTACTTGCTTTACAATAGTATAATGGTCTTAACTAAAACACCTTTAAACCAGTAATCTTTCAACCTAGGTTGATTTTAAGCCCTCAGGGGACACTGCAATGGAGACATTTTTGGTTGTCACAACGGAGGGGCTGTACTACTACCGGCCTCTGGTGGGTAGAGGCCAAGAATGCTGCTAAGCATTCTCTAATACCCAGTACAGGCCCCCACAATATCCATCCAAAACGTCAGTAGTCCCAAGTCTGAGAAACTCTTCAACCAAAGGAACCAGGTTCTTCATTACAATTACCAACAAAACAAATCACACTCACACACACACACACACCCCCACACACACACAATTCTCCCCTCAAGTAATGAAGTAAAACCCTTTAAGGGCTGACCTCAATATGCATAACCATTGTTGACTACTGTTATTAAGTGTCTGAAATTCTAGCAGCCAGAATGGCTTACAGGTTGCGTCTACTCAATTCAATACATTTCAAAAAATTTTAATTTTGTTTAATGTTTATTTATTTTTGAGAGAGACAGACAGAACGTGAGTGGGGGTGGGGGGGCAGGGGCAGAGAGAGAGGGAGACACAAAATCTGAAGCAGGCTCCAGGCTCTGAGCTGTCAGCACAGAGCCTGACACAGGGCTCGAACCCACCAACTGTGAGATCATGATCTGAGCTGAAGTCAGACGCTCAAACGACTGAGCCACCAAGGCGCCCCGGTACATTTCAAAATTTTTTAATCATTAAGCCTTTCAAAGCTCACTCTAAATGATTTCAAGAGATTACAGTTTACCATTCTTTCCTGTTTTCAAGTGATATCTGAAGAACCACAAAACTCTAACAATGTACTACTAACATACAAACAGGGCCTTTATTTTAGTGAGTAGTTATCAAGGCTTTCCAATGAATGGGATATTTAAACTCTCACTTAATAATACACTGCTTTGGCCTAATATTTTGTACTTGTTCATTAAAATCTTCCAAATATTTAAGAAATTAAGAACAGTCCATTATTTCTGATCAAGAAGGCAAGAAAAACTAATCAGCAGTTAAGTAACTTTATAATTGAGCTTGAAAAATTACCAACTAATACATACTCCCCTCCAACCTTAAAGCATGTTTTGAGGGGCGCCTGGGTGGCGCAGTCGGTTAAGCGTCCGACTTCAGCCAGGTCACGATCTCGCGGTCCGTGGGTTCAAGCCCCGCGTCGGGCTCTGGGCTGATGGCTCAGAGCCTGGAGCCTGTTTCCGATTCTGTGTCTCCCTCTCTCTCTGCCCCTCCCCCGTTCATGCTCTGTCTCTCTCTGTCCCAAAAATAAATAAACGTTGGAAAAAAAAAATTAAAAAAAAAAAAAAAAAAAAAAAAAAAAAAGCATGTTTTGAGGTGCCTTATGGAAAGTCAACCCCTGGGGCACCTGGCTGGCTAGGTGGGTGCAGCTTGTGACTCTTGTTCTCAGGGCTGTGGGTTTGAGCCCCACCATGGGTGTAGAGATTACTTAAAAATAGAACCTTAAGGGACGCCTGGGTGGCTTAGTCGGTTAAGCAACTGACTCTTGGTTTCGGCTCAGGCCATATTCTCACGGTTTCCTGACTTCAGAGCCCCACATCAGGCTCTTCGCTGACTGTGTGGAGCCTGCTTGGGATTCTCTCCCTCTCTCTCTCTGTACCTCCCTCACTAGCACACGCGCTCTCTCTCCCAAGATAAACAAACTTTAAAAAAAATAAAATCTTTTAAAAAGTCAACCATTAATAAATAGCTTTGGAAAACAGTTTATCAACAAACTGGCCAAAAAGTGCAAAACTGAACCGAGAGGCCAGCAAAATCTAGAGCTGAGTAGGAAAATAGTTTTGAAACGCTGCTGTTATTAGTCATACTTCACTTTCTTAGTAACTGCGTTAACTTCCACCTTCTAAAATCTCTATCTTTCCCATTATGTAAGAGTTGAGTACTGTTTTAATACTGACTTCGTATTCCAATACTGCTTAATAGCTCAGCACGTAAGAAACACACTGATCAGGGAATTCTTTGCGAGACCAAAAAAAAAAAAAAAAAAAAATTCCTTCTTCCAAAATAAACAAAATTAATACACAAACACTAAGATGTATTTGCAAATACAAGATGCAATACGGTTACTGTTTCATAGCTTTCCCGATACATTATTCCTGGCGAATCTTAAGTGTCGCTAAAACTTCTCCATTCACTTGACGCCACTCCTCCTGAGCATCCAGAACTTTAATACTTGTCCAAGCCTGCTTGCTCATGGTCTAATAATAAACCTAATTATACAATCTGTTACAGCCCCTGACAACCTTTTCCTTAAGAAGCCATAAAGGTGATCTAGCCAACACCTCACTCCCCCCCCAGGAAGCCCGTGTCAAGCCCGGA